AGAAAACAAAATCTGCATCAGCACCACCAGCATAAGCACCAGCATTAGCATCAGCATCAGCATCAGCATCAGCGTCGTCGTCATCATCACCACCACCGCCATCATCATTATCGTCATCATCAGCAGCATCAGCATCACCATCATCATCATCGTCGTCATCATCAGCATCATCATTGTCGTCATCAGCATAGTCGTCATCATCATAAGCTGCATCATCATCATCATCATCATCACCACCACCATAATCATCATCATCAGCATCATCATCAGCATCATCGTCATCATCATATGACCAACACCCTCATCATAAATATCTTCGTCGTCGTCATCAGCATCATCATCAGTATGTATCATCATCAGTATGTATCATCATCATCATCATCATCATCATCATCATCATCATCATCATCATCATCATCATCATCATCATTAGCATCATCATTAGCATCATCATCATCATCATCATCAGCAGCAGCAGCATCATCATCATCATCCTCATCCTCATCCTCATCATCAGTTTCGTCATGATCATCATCAGCATCATCATTCGAATCCTCATCCTCATCCTTACCCTCACCCTCATCAGCATCTTCCTTCTCATCAGCACCATCATCACAATCATCATCATCAGCATCATCATCACCATCACCATCACCAGCAGCAGCATGATCACCATCATCATCATCAGCATCAGCAGCATCGTCATGGTCACCATCATCATCATCATCAGCATCATCAGCATCATCAGTAGCAACATCAACGTCATCATCGTCATCCTTGTCCTCACCTCATTCTCATCCTCATCCTCATCCTCATCCTCATCCGCATCGCCCGTATCATCATCATCATCATCCTCATCCTCATCCTCATCATCATCATCATCATCATCATCATCATCTTCATCATCATCATCAGCATCATCAGCATCAGCATCATCATTATCATCATCATCATCAACATCATGATCATCATCATCACATCATCAGCATAATCATCATTAGCATCTATTTCATGTAGCATCCTCATCGCTATCATCATTATCAGCATCATCGACATCATCCTCGTCTTGGTCATCCTCATCTTCATCATCTTAATCATCATCATCATCATCATCATCATCATCATCATCATCGCTATCAGCATCAGCATCACCATCATCATCATCATCAGCATCTTCAGCATCATCATCATCCTCCTCATCCTCATCATCATCATCACCATCAACATCGTCGTTGTTTTCGCCATCGCCATCGTCTCTTGAACGGTTTTCTTGTTGGTTTCTCTGTTCCCCCCCAGCAGGCACGCTCCAGTTGATGTAAGACTGCATGCGTCTCGCGCCCGACGCGGAGCGATGCTGGATACCCGTCCTTCGTGGCGCGCGCCCGCCGCGCCTGCCCCTGACGACGGCATTCTCAAGCGAAGACGACTCGGAGCCGACCGACGCGTTCTCCAGGTCTGCGCAACGCCACTTAATCTTGAAGCCGCTGAAGAGGCTGGGGTTGACCTTTTGGATGAGCTTGATGTCGCGGACCTCGAGCTTCTTCGCCATCTTCACCTCGATCTTCTCGGCCTGCTCGTCCGTGAGCTTCGCCGCGGAGAGCACGGTGACGGGCTCGACGGACTCGCGGTTGTGGAGGTGGCACACGAGCTCCTCGCAGATCGCTTTCAACTGATGTAGTTGCCTCTCTTGGCGAGGAACGTGATGAACTTGGGGAACGCTGAGGGGCAACGACAGGGGGGGATAGGCATAGGGGGGGAAACGTCGACCTGGAATCGGCGATACATCGCCGATAGATCGGCGACAGGCCCCCGACAGTAGATCCGCACCTTCCTGGGCAGGTCGGGGCTGCCGGACCCCTAGCGGCGATCAATGGGCGATTGGGGGTCGATGCATCCCCCCCCCGTGCCCATCAGAGCGTTCCGGAACGCTCTGGGGCGGCCGCGGCGCCCAATACATCCTCCAAACCCGCCGATTCTCAGAGATTTCGAGTTACCCCGATCCGATTTTGTCCCGCTCTTCGCGTCGCTTGACCCCTATCGCTGCCCCCGAAACACGGTGGGCTCCCGCGGGCCCAGCTCGTCGGCGACGGCCGAGGCCCGTCCGCGAGCAGAGCACCGGCGGGCACGGGGAGAGCTGCGCCGCCGGCCCCAGCTCCAGCTCCGAGCCCCCGGGGGCCAGGAGCTCCTCGGCCGCCGCCACGCCCTCCGCGGCGACCACGCCCTCGCCCGGGCTCGCGGGCGCACCCGCGGGCGCGTGCACGCGCACCACCAGCGGGCCAGCCGGCGTTGCGCCGTCACCCGCGCGCTCCGCCTCTCGCGCGGCCGCGCGGCGGGCTCGTGCCGAGAGGGGCACAGGGAGCGTCTGCGAGGGCAGGCTCCGTGAGCCGACCGCGGCTCAGGCAGGTGGCGGCGCTGCGAGTCGGAGCCATTGCCGCTGAAGCCTGGGAAGCGTGCCCCAGGCGCGGGCAGGTGCTGGCAAGGTCTCGGCGGGTCGTTGGCCTGAAGACTTGAGCCGAAATGGCTTGAGCCAAAACGGCAACGGACGTCTCCGGAACATCCTCCATCCTCATACTGTTCGTCGTTTCTCTCCCTCGTCGTCCTGCTGCTCTTCGTCGTCTTTTCCGTTCTTCTCCTCACTCCTCCACCCTCCTCCCTCCCTACCTACTCCTCCCTACTCCTTACTACCTACTCCCCCCTCCTCACTACTCCTTACTACCTACTCCTTACTACCTACTCCTCCCTACTCCTTACTACCTACTCCTACCTACTCCCTCCTTACTACCCTCCTCCCTCCCTACCTACTCCTCCCTCCCTCCTCCTCCCTCCTCCTTCATCTCCATCCCTCCCTCCCCCCTGGCCCTCCTCGCTTCTCCCTGGCTCCGACGGAGCAGGAACCGTGAGCCCGAAGCCGGCGTGAGATCGGAGCCCTTCGCGTTTTGGGGGCAGCGATGGATCCAGAGAGTACGGATCTCGACGCGCGAGAGCGGGAGCCTCCCAATCTTTACAGCTGGGGCGCGCCCCTCCAGGCAAATGCCAGGAGAGGGAAAACTAAATCTGTCCGCCGCCGGCGTGCCCCTCCCGGCGCGTGCTCACCAGGGGCCGAAGAAGCCGTTGGAGTTGGCCAGGACGGAGGCACCGAAGAGCACGCACATCACGACGATGTACAGCTGCGGGTCCTCCACCTCCAGCCCCCTCCGCGCCGCCCCGGGCCTGCATCGCCACCAGGCCGCCCTCCGAGCTGCTCGCGACCGTCGGGGCGGCGCCCGCGGCGAGGCGCGCCCGGGCCGGCGCGCGCCGCCATGCCGCCAGAGGGCGCCACGAACGCGAGCCCGCGCAGGGCGAAGAGGCACAGCGCGGCCAGGACGAGCACCGGGAGCGTCTTCGACTTGAGCGCCATGGCGACTGTCCGCTGATACGGCAGGCTGGGGCGCAAGCGGCTTGAGCACAAACAGCTGCTGGTGATAGGAGCAGGGATGGGCTGGGGGGGAAGAGGAGGAGATGCGAGGGGAGGAAACGGGCGGAGGTGGAGGATTGGGAGAACAAGGAGGACGAGGAGGAAGACGAAGAGGAGGAGGAGGAAACGACGGAGCATCAGGGGCGGAGAAGCAGATGCTCCAAGCTGTCTGCGCAAGTGTCTGGCGGGGTGCCCTGTTCCTGCTCCGCACACTAGCGGACTTCCACCTGAACTTTTCCCCCCGCTTCCACACACATCCTTTCCATGTAAGCAGACCTTCCGGAGTGGGCCAACCGAGTTAACTCTCCATTAATCTCCTCGCTCTCCTCTCCCCCTCCTGTCTCCCCAAAGCTTTTGGACATTTCCTTATCAGTATCCTCTTCCATCCTTCCTCCAACTTCTGGCTATTCCTCCATCCTCCTCATCCTCTTCGAGTATCTTCCCTCTTCCTCCTCCACCTCCTCCTCATCTTCCTCCTCTTCTCCATATTATGATACTTACTCTTCATCATCATCCTCACTCTCTCCCCTCCCTCCCCTCCCCTCCCGATACATCATCATCGTAATTTTCTTCTTCATCATCTTCATCACCACCATCGTCATCATCATCAGCATCATCATCACCAGCAGCATCATCAGCATAATCATGTCCACCATCATCACCATCATCACCATCATCATCATCATCATCATCAGCATCATCATCATCATCATCATCATCATCATCATCATCATCATCATCATCATCATCATCATCATCATCATCATCACATCGCCATCATCATCACCATACCACCACAGCCATCACCACCATCAGCATCATCAACAACAGCAACATCAGTAGCACCATCGTCATGATCATCGTAACCATCATCGCCATGTTCAGCATCATCATCAGCATCATCATCATCACCATCATCAGCACCATCATCATGATCATCATCATCAGCATCATCATCACCATCACAACCACCATCATCGTCATCAGCATCAGCATCAGCATCAGCATCAGCATCAGCATCAGCATCAGATCATCATCATCATCATCATCATCAGCATCAGCATCAGCATCAGCATCAGCATCAGCATCAGCATCAGCATCATCATCATCATCATCATCATCATCATCGTCACCATCATCATCATCATCATCATCATCATCATCATCATCATCATCATCATCATCATCATCATCATCATCATCATCATCTCATCCCGTCTCTTGAACGCATCCCGTCCTCAGATTCGTCGTGTTCCTCCCTCGTCGTCATCCTCCCCTTCGACGTCTTATCCGTTCCTCATCCTTCCTCATCCTCCTTCCTGCTCCCTGCCTCCCCCCTCTTCATCCTCGAGTCTCCTTGGCTCCGACGGAGCAGGAAGTGTGAGCCCGAAGCCGTCGTGAGATCGGAGCCCCTTCGACTTGATAGCTCCTGATAAGTTCAGACCTAAATGCGCGAGAGCGGGAGCCTCCCAATCTTTACAGCTGGGGCGCGCCCCTCCAGGCAAATGCCAGGAGAGGGAAAACTAAATCTGTCCGCCGCCGGCATGCCCCTCCCAGCGCGTGCTCACCAGGGGCCGAAGAAGCCGTTGGAGTTGGCCAGGACGGAGGCACCGAAGAGCACGCACATCACGACGATGTACAGCTGCGGGTCCTCCACCTCCAGCCCCTCCGCGCCGCCCCGGGCCTGCATCGCCACCAGGCCGCCCTCCGAGCTGCTCGCGACCGTCGGGGCGGCGCCCGCGGCGAAGGCGCCCGGGCCGGCGCGCGCCGCCATGCCGCCAGAGGGCGCCACGAACGCGAGCCCGCGCAGGGCGAAGAGGCACAGCGCGGCCAGGACGAGCACCGGGAGCGTCTTCGACTTGAGCGCCATGGCGACTGCTCGCTGATACGGCAGGCTGTGTGCGCAATCGGCTTGAGGCACAAACAGCTGCTTCTGCTGCTTCGGGAGGAGGCTGGGGGGAAGCGGAGGCGATGGCCGATGGGGGGGGCCGAAGCGGGCGGGGCGGAGGATTGGGAGGATGAGGACGAGGAGGCCGCTGAGCAGGATTGTGAGGAGCATCGTGGGCGGAGAAGCGGACACGGCTAAGCTCCACGGTGCAATTGTGCGTGGTGTTTTGTGTGATAGGTGTGTGTGTGTGTGTGTTTTGTGTGTTGTGTGTTGTGTGCGAGTGTGCTTTGTGTGTGTGTGTGTGTGTCTGTCTGTCTGTCTGTCTGTCTGTCCGTCCGTCTGTCTGTCTGTTCCTGTCTGTTCCTGTCTGTCTGTCTGTCTGTCTGTCTGTCTGTCTGTCTGTCTGTCTGTCTGTCTGTCTGCCTCTGTCTGTCTGTCTGGCTCTGTCTGTCTGTCTGTCTGTCTGCCTGTCTCTGTCTGTCTGTTTTGTGTGTGGTGTGTGTGTGTGTTTTGTGTGTGTGTGTTTTGTGTTGTGTGTTGTGTGTGTGTTGTGCTTTGTGTGTGTGCCTGTCTGTCTGTCTCTGTCTGCCTGCCTGTCTGTCTGTCTGTCTCTGTCTCTGTCTCTGTCGCTGTCTCTGACTGTGTGTGTGTTCTGTCTGTCTGTCTATATGTCTGTCTGTCTGTCTGCCTCTGTCTGTCTGTCTGTCTCTGTCTGTCTGCCTGTCTGCCTGTCTCTGTCTGCGTGTGTGTGGCGAGGTGTCCTGTCCCTGCTCCGTGCGAAAATAGACTTTCTCCCAAAGACTTCCTCCCCCATGAGACTCCCACTTCCCCCACACACCCCTTACATGTATGGAAACCTTCCCGAGTCGACCAACTGAGTTACCTCCCCCCTCTTCCTCCTCCTCCTCTCTTTCTCCTGCCTCTCCGAACCTTTTAGATCCCTTGCCCCGCATTTCATCTTACATCCTCCTCCCTCTTCTTCAGCCTATTGGCTCCGTCCTTCCACCCATTCCTCTGGCATCCTCCTCCTCTATGCTCTCCTTCCTCCCTCCTCCTTATCCTACTTTATCTACCTTTCCTCCGTCCTCGTCCCTCTCATCACACTATACGCTCTCCCGCTGTATTCTGCAAGTCTTCTGCAGTCTTCCATCTCGTTCTACTGCTCGCCGTCTCCCTCCTCCCTCGTCGTTCCGCCTCCTCCTATCCCTCCTCCTCCTCATCATCAATCATCATCATCTCATTTTCCTCCTCCTCCTCCTCCTCCTCCTCCTCCACATCGTCGCCTTCTCCTTTCCGCTCCTCACTCCTCCCTCCTCCTCCTCCGTCCTCATCCCTCCTCCCTCCTGCTCCCTCCCTCCCTCCCCCCTTCCTCCTCGATTCACCTCGACCCCCCATGGTGCAAGAACTGTGAGGCAGCCCGAAGCCGGCGTGAGATCGGAGCCCCTTCGTTTTGGGGCAGCGATTGATTCCGAGAGTTCGGATTCTCGACTGCGGCGAGAGCGGGTGCCTCCCATTCTTTACGGCTGGGGCGGCCCTCAGGCAAATCAGTGAGAGGGGAAATCCTAAACTCTGTCC